CCCTGATCGTTTCGTAATACGATTTTTCCAATTCGGGAAGTTGTTCGTTCTGCATTTGTTGATACAAGTACACCCAATGGCGATACAGTCGCCAGCGCTGCTCTACCGAAAGCCTCTTCAAACTACGCCGAATATTACCGACTTCATTCGCATCCATCCTGTCACTGGCTTTAAGTCTGGCCAGTGTTGCGTTTGCCTCACGATGTACTAATGATTGAAATTGTTTATCAAGGTGTTGTGTTGATTGTATATCGTTAAGAACGACCATGAGTTGCTGTCGAACATCAAGACCGACCTGCTCCTTGAACCGTACGCTGAAGTCATCATCTTCAATCCTCCTGTCATCTTCCACTTTTTTTGCTTCGTTTTCTTCGATATTTTCTTCATTTGTGGCCGTATGAATCGCTACTTCCGTATTTGCTGACGATGACACTGTTTTCAACTGGGACATGTTTTTGTAAGCTCTTTCAGATCTTCGGAGCCAAGCATTTTTGTCGGCCTCTAGCCAATGAAACAGCTCCTCCGGTTTGTCTGCCACTACAAAGAATTGCTGATGATCCTCTCGCATAACTGGTATTAATAACTTAACATCAAGAACTGTATCATTTACGTGGCTGAGACTGTACGCTAAAAATGATATGTTCCGGTGTTGGCTATTAATTAAATTGTAAAGTTGATCCAGTTTTCGCTCCTGTTCTTGTCTCTCATAAAAAGGGCGGTGGTAATGATGACGACGATTTTTCAAAGAGAACTCCTGAATAGCTTCATTTTCGGACCGTCCGCCAACCCGCACAATTTCGTCAGACCACATCCTCTTATTGCTGCCGTCAAGAAACTTTACGATACCTTCCAAAAACTGATCCAAAGCATGGTTCGTGTAGCAGACTACCAGAATTTGATCTTTCGTTTTTGATTGCGTGTTTCTGAATGTACAACGGTGTCTTGAGGACCTATCTTGCCATGCATCTTTGTTATGAAGAAGCGTCTTGGCAATCTGGAGGCCGACATGTGTTTTGCCGGTACCCGGTGGTCCCTGAATCAAAACAAATTCTTGAGTAAGAGCAGCATGGTAGGCCTCGAACTGGGACTGGTCGAGCTGAAGCTCTTCAGCTGATGGCCAATGACTCACAGGGCCGTTTAACTTAACGCGAAGAGGTGTATGGCTTTGCAACTCTTTTTTGAATATGTCGTTGCCCGAGACTATTGGATGCAAGTCGTACGTAGCATCTTCAACAGTAAGATACAGTGGAAGGTCAACATCTTTCATGCAGTGGACTATGTACTTTTCAAAAGGCAATTCC